TTTGCCAGCAATTGGACATGGGGTTGGAAGGACAGGTTGGAGTCTAGAGTGACACCTAGGCCTTTGGCTTGCGGGATGGGACTGATGAGGGCGTTGTTGGTCGTGATAGAGAGGATGGGGGGGCGCAGGCTGGGGGGGAAATTAGGAGCTCGGTTTTGGAAAGGTTCAATTTGAGGAAATGGAGCGACATCCAGTCTGATATGTCATTCAGTAGGTGGGTGATACGGGTGGAGACTGAAGGGGTGAGGCGAGGGGTGGATAGGTAAATTTGCGTGTCATCGGCGTAGAGGTGATAGTTGAAGCCGTGGGAGTGTATCAGTTTGCCGAGGGAGGAGGTGTAGATGGAGAAGAGAAGGGGCCTGAGGACAGAGCCTTGGGGGACCCCAACAGAGAGGGGGGGAGGTGGTAGCGTTATAGGTAACGCTGAAGGAGCGTTGGGATAGATAGGAGGAGAGCCAGGAGAGAGCGGAGTCTCTGATGCCAAGGGAGTGTAGTTTATTAAGGAGGAGGGGGTGGTCAACTGTGTCGAAGGCCGGGGGTGGGGGGACAGGAACACAAGACCTGAAGCCAATTTTAAACATCCACACAAAGCTGTTTAGGAAGCAAGCCACTTAATATATATATATATATATGCTCTACCTCTGAAGAAGTGCGTGCGCGAAACACGTCAAGTGGAGCCCAGGACGCCGTTGACACTAAGCCGCCGGCGCCACGTGGAGGCCCGGCGGCCATCTTGATTTCTTAAAGGGTCAGTGTGTTCATCCATACTTGGCACTATTTTGTTCACTATGCACCTGTGTTTTCTAAATAAAACCTTTACCTACTACACTATGAGTGCTTCCCTATGTCTCCTGTGAGGAGCTTCTTCAACCCTTACAGCCCTAAGTGATCCCTGTGTCAGTTCCTGTGAAGGGGGAGGCTTATCCAGATTTATCCTTCTCTGACTGCTGGACCATTCTTTCACCACATGAGGGCGTAGGATTTCCATCTTTCCCAGCTATTTCTATGACCAGACCTGAGAGGAGAGGGGAGTCTTCAGGATATATACTCACATGCGTATTATTATACGCTTTCTGGTTAGTGTGTATTTCTACCATTTGCACTGGGAATCAAGGAGCACTTTTTCATTGGACTGTGTTTCACCATCATTTCTTATCATCTTCTAATAGCGCTGCATTTTGTTTATATATCAATTATGGGACTTTTATGCGTTTTCCTTTAATGTTCAGCTGCTAGAATTATTGAGAGCGCTTACTATATACATTTTTTTATTCTCAAATATGTGCATTTATTTTATTTTTTTTAAAGCTGAACATAGCCTTTAAACTAGTGATTGATAGGTCATTACATTGCATTACATGATATGCATTACATGGTATCTTTTAACTGACTTCATACCATTATTTACAGTAATGCCTGTTCACACCAGCAGCTGTGCTACATCTGTTAGTGCGTGATAAGATGGCAGCAGTTCTCATGCACCAACCCCAGTGCATCGCACTGTTTTTACTTTTTTTTAGCAAACTTTATTGAAATGTAACAAATTTCTATTGACTATGGCATGGACTGTGTCGCCTGACGCTGCACTGAAAAAAGTAGTGCGTGTTTACACAGCAAAAGTCTAAGCTATTGTGGACCCACTTAAAGAGGGTCATAGGTCTGGTGAGTGACAATTTGAGTGTGTACATCAAGAAAGTACAGGGTTTGTGTTTTGGGAAGGAGGTGTTTTCTAGGCCACTCTGCCCAGTTTGTTATTTTGAGACCTGGATAAAGAAGCACTAGAGTTTATAGAGATATTTATTTGTGGTGATAATTTATTTAAATAAGTTATTTAGGCATAAAGGACACGGATGGACTTTGATTTCACTTTATGGCTTTTCACTGGATACTTATCATGTTAAATAAGTTGATAATTTATCATGTTTTTTCACATCTTTTGATTTAAGTATAAGAGCCTGGTATTTATGTATATTAGGGAAACACAGCACCTTACTGTATTCATCACAAAATAACTGCCATCCACTTAGATAAGTGGGTGTATGGTTTACAGTGCTTGCAGCCTCCATGGAGTAGGAACACCACAGTAGTAGCATAGGCACAGGATCTTTCCAGTCTTCCTTCTATCTTCAATTGAAAGATGTCATGTGGGAATGGAGCTGACAGCGCCACCCACCGAGCAACTTTCAGCCACTTACTCAGGACAGTTATAGAAGAGTAAACTTCTCCGGGCATGCCCTCTGTGTGGAATTGATCTCTCTTTAGAGGTCTGACACACACCCTATTCAGTCAGAGCTAGCTCTCGAATCTGCAGGCAGAATGCATTTTTATGATTGATTGAGGGCTGTAGCTGTGACCTAGCAGGGAGTTTATCAGACCTCTGCAGAAAGACCACTTCTGGAACCTGTATAAAGAGGGTAGTTCTCCAGTATGGTAACTGTAAGGAGATACCAAGCAACTGTTGAGTGGTTTCCTGTGGTCTTGAGAGTGCCCCCTCATCTTGATCTGGGATAAGACCTATCAGGTATTTTAGGAGACCCAACAGGTATTTTAGGAGATGGTTTTGAGCAGCCGGTTCCAGTTTTCAGCTGCAGCACCCAGAAGCTCCCCTTCCACCCAAAAGCGGTAGCATCCAGTGATTGGTGGATTCTGCAGGTTGTGGAGCACAGCACAACACCCGGTCTTCTCTCCATATTATGGTTGATGGGCATTGATGCCTCTTTTATCTTGTAAGTGTTTTTAACTGTAGCCTAAAATATGTCACTTGAATACTACACTTAGAGGCCCCTTTTCTTCTTTTTCTACATTTATTTAGAGCTGGCTCACTGTGGTATGACTGTCATTTGTGCAAAACAGGAATTATGGACTTTACATGGACTTCCATTATATACCATGGTTTATTAGAAGGAACACAAGCCCTTAATGTGTGCTGATCATACCCTTTTTCATGGTTCTGAGCATCCCCTATGGGGTGTATGGCTCAAGTGGCTCTCCCGATTGCAAGAAGAGCAAAAACAATCTCAATAAGGCATGTTTCATTTTCAAATTCTGATCACTATCAGCAAAGCAATCAAGCTCCACTGTACAATTCAGCTTGTGCGAGGGTCCCTTAATGTCTAATTTAGGTTCATGTGTTCATGTGAGGGCAGCCAAAGGCAATGAGACTCAGATGGGGGAAACCCCCCAGCCCCTGTCCATTCCAGAGAAAGACTGGAGGACATTGATTGTTGGAAAATATCACTCCTGAGTATTCCTGCTCATTTTAAATCTGTTCTGATTAGCTCTTGAAACATTTGTATATTTTACAGGAATATATATATACAGTATATAAAAAAAAATTTTCAAATGCAACTGAAAAACAGGATATTTGATATATTGATTCATTGCAAAACAATGACACAGCTGATTTACTTTGCTAGTTGGATACTCTCATATATACTGAAAAGGATAGGATTGTTGTCTTATATGTCTGATACATTGGATGAAGACCTTTTGAATAAAATGGACAATGCAGTAAATTGAAAAATATTGCTTAATGTAATTGTTATACCTGATGGCCAACCCTGATCTGACAGATAAAAAAAACTCCTATATTGTTTGCAATATTCTTCCTAGCTGGTTGCTATGCCACAGCAGAGTTCACCCCCAGCATCACAGGAGAGAGCACTCTCCCTAGGTCAAAGGCTACATGTGCCCAGTGTGCTCTCTTTCCCACTGTTGCAGCATCATTGCACTATGATGCTGCAACTGAAAGGGTATACTATGCATGAGTAACTAGAGAACTAAACTGAACTGAACTAAGTAGAGTGCTCACATCTGTAATGCTGGAGGTACATGCACTCAACATCTGTCTAGTCCTGGCAAATAACCAAGACAGGGAAAATAAAACGATATGGGAGGCTTTTTTCTAGGCTCTGGGTGCTGGAAATAGCCTACAGTTAGTGCCAGGTGTAGACCTTGGATAGCCCAGAGCACTTGTTCACATTCTCAATTACAGTCACACATTTCTAAAAATGCATTACACAGCATCATTTTGAGGTCATGTGTGCACACATACACGCAGTCTTAGTGCTCTATGTGTGGTTCTCTTTGAGCCGCCAAAATTTGTTTTTAAAAATGATACAATATACCAGTCCAGAGTGAAACCTTTCACAGATGATGACCAGCAAAATATTACTTCTCAAGATACGTTAAATACAAGAAAGTAATTTTTTAATTAAATATTTTATATTACTTTCTCGCTATTTATTTTGTTATTTTATATATATTTTTTTTTTTTAGATTCTTTTATATAATTTTTGTATGGGGGGTGGGGCTCCTGTCAGGGGGCCCAGGACAGTTGCCCCTTTTGCCCTGTTATAAATCCAGCACTGCCTAGAAGCTAAATTAATCAGTATGTTTCAAAACTGCACAGCGGATATTAGCTTGCAGGGGTCCATGTACTGCACCATACAATTATTTCAAAAGGTGAACTTGAACTTTAAGAAACCATTTGTTATTAGACAGCATTCAGTACCAGGTTTTTGGTGAAGCTGCAGTTGACCATGTCGTATATTTTCAGCTGGTTGGTATTGTTTTTCCCAAGATAAGGTAATACTACAGGTAACCTGGATATGCTCCCACTCTGACTTGCATTGAGATAAATATGCACACTCATGTGACATTTCAAGGAAATATCTTTTAGCAGTAAAGATTCTATGTCTGCATCATGACACCCATAGGCTGAAATATTAGATATTTTTGATTCATGACATGGAACATTGTTTTTAATTAGATATCCCTTAAAAGGACAAGATAGATAGAAAAATAATTGTATATTAACATTCATAGGCTGCCTTACACTTTACAGCTGTGTTAATACTTGCAAAAATAGATTAGTAACGATACTTTGTATATTAAGTTTAATGTGACCTTTATGTTTCGTAAAAATGTTGAAAACAAAATTAAAATAAAAAAAAAATAAAATGTTAACACTTATTTAGCTTTGTTTTGATCATGTTGCAGGTGCCTTTGCTTGTAAAATGGTCCCATTTGTTCAATCTACTGCTATTGTCACTGAAATCCTCACAATGACATGTATTGCTGTGGAAAGACATCAGGGAATCATACATCCTCTGAAGATGAAATGGCAATACACAAACAGAAGAGCATTCACCATGCTAGGTGAGTCATTCCCTGAAGATAAAAGTACTGTACAAAAGTTTTAGGCACCTGTGAAAAAATGTTGTTAAATGAGGATGTTTTAAAAAATAATGCAATAAACAGTTTTTATTTATCAATTAACAAAGTGAACAAACATAAAAAATACAAAATCTAATCAATATTTTATGTGCCCACATTTTGCTTTTAAAACAGCATAATTTCTCTCAGGTACACAAGTGTACACAGTAAGGGTTAGTTTACACTTGCTTTAGCCCTCTGAGGTGTAATCTGTCACAGATTACTCTTTAGAAGACATTTGACAGGCAGTGTGTTATGTTCTAACCCTCAAAACCCACACCACCACGCAACAACCGCGTGCATTGCACATGACTGTAGGGTGATTGTGACTCAGCCCCATTCAGGTGAATGGGCCTCATTAGTAGTACTGCCTGCCAAGCACAAAAGAGGGCATCAATTTTGCTACACCGTCATGCAAGGTATTGCAGCCACAGCGTGTGTACAACCCCGTCCATTGGCTTTGCAGCTGAAGGGGAAGCGATTGGGATGTGGTAGAAACTAGGGTTGCCACTTCATCCCTTTAAACCCAAACACTTATTATTTATACAGGTTCTGTGGCTGATTAAGGTGATAAATAAACTCACTTAGTGCCTTATCTGAATTAAATTAGCCTCAGAACCTGTGTAATTTATTTGTGTTCAGATTTAAAGGGATAAAGTGGCAACCCTAGTAGAAATGCAGCTCAGCAGTATATTTTTTTTTATGTAAACTAGGCCTTAAGGTTTTTGGACATATGGTCCAGGGCATGATTAAACAATTACACCAAACAGGTGCTAATTATCAAAAAGATGAACATGTAGCTGAAAACAGGCCTGGACAAAATCTCACTCTGAGCTAGGAGCCAATTTTTTAAACCTATGAGTCACCACTGTAACCTACATATACAGGTGAAACTCGAAAAATTAGAATATCGTGCAAAAGTTCATTTATTTCAGTAATGCAACTTAAAAGGTGAAACTAATATATGAGATATACTCATTACATGCAAAGCAAGATAGTTCAAGCCATGATTTGTCATAATTGTGATGATTATGGCTTACAGCTCATGAAAACCCCAAATCTACAATCTCAGAAAATTAGAATATTGTGAAAAGGTGCAATATTCTCGGCTCAAAGTGTCCCACTCTAATCAGCTAATTAAGCCATAACACCTGCAAAGGGTTTCTGAGCCTTTAAATGGTCTCTCGGTGTCAGGAATGGACTGGCTAGCAATGGTGGGACTCACCTGCCTTATGAGCTGCAGTACCAGGGTTGGCCAGCGGGTGCTCCCAGCAATCAGAGACTCAACCTTGCAGCCAGCAAAACACCTGAAACTGCTTATGCTGGTGTATTTAAGGGATGGCCAGACCTGCAGACTCTGCCTTGGTGTATGTTTTTCCTGGGCCCTGTATCCTGTTCCTGCTTCCTGTTTCTGTTTCTGTTCCTGTTCCTGTTCCTATTCCTGTTCCTGTTCCTATTCCTGTTCCTGTCTTGTTGCTGACCCGGCCTGATCTATACCTCTGCTGACTTCTCCTGCTCTGACCCCGGCTCGTTCCTGACCATCCCTCTGCCTGACCCTCTGTACCTCGCTGTCTGCTACCTGCTGAACCTGGCTTGTGACCCCGACCATTCTCCGCTTGCTCCCCCTGTACCTACCTGCCCGATTGATATTGACCCGGCCTGCCTGACGACGCTTGCATTGTTTGTACTGTTATCTGTGGGTGGTTGGTTGGGTTTGTTTGCACTGTATTATGTTTAGTATTGCACTGCGTTTATGTTTGTATTGTTAGTGTTAATAAATCGTATTGTTTATAACATATCTGAAGTCTGCGTTTCCCTGCGTCAGTCACACACCTCTGGTCATACCCGGGAGCCCTGACACTCGGTCTGGTTCAGTAGGAATCACAATCATGGGAAAGACTGCTGACCTGACAGTTGTGCAGAAAACCATCATTGACACACCCTCCATAAGGAGGGAAAGCCTCAAAAGGTAATTACAAAAGAAGTTGGATGTTCCCAAAGTGCTGTATCAAAGCACATTAATAGAGAGTTATGTGGAAGGGAAAAGTGTGGAAGAATAAGGTGCACAAGCAGCAGGGATGACCGCAGTCTGGAGAGGATTGTCAGGAAAAGGCCATTCAAAAGCGTTGGGGACTTTCACAAGGAGTGGACTGAAGCTAGAGTCAGTGCATCAAGAGCCACCACACACAGACGGATCCTGGACATGGGCTTCAAATGTTGTATTCCTCTTGTCAAGCCTCTCCTGAACAACAAACAACGTCAGAAGCATCTTACCTGGGCTAAAGAAAAACAGACCTGGTCTGTTGCTTAGTGGTCCAAAGTCCTCTTTTCTGATGAGAGTAACTTTTGCATCTCATTTGGAAACCAAGGACCCAGAGTATGGAGGAAGAAAGGAGAGGCGCACACTACAAGATTCTTGAAGTCCAGTCTGAAGTTTCCACAGTCTGTGTTGATTTGGGGAGTCATGTCATCTGCTGGTGTTGGTCAACTATGCTTCATTAATTCCAGGGTCAACGCAGCTGTCTACCAGGAGATTTTGGAGCACTTCATGCTTCCTTCCGTAGACGAGCTTTATGGGGATGCTGACTTCATTTTCCAGCAGGACTTGGCACCTGCCCACACTGTCAAAAGCACCAAAACCTGGTTCAATGACCGTGGGATTACTTTGCTTGATTGGCCAGCAAACTCGTCTGACCTGAACCCCATAGAGAATCTATGGGGCATTGCCAAGAGAAAGATGAGAGACATGAGACCGAACAATGCAGAAGAGCTGAAGACCGCTATTGAAGCATCCTGGTCTTCCATAACACCTTAGCAGTGCCACAGGCTGATAGCTTCCATGCCATGCTGCATTGAGGCAGTAATTGCTGCAAAAGGGGCCCAAATCAAGTACTGAGTACATATGCATGCTTATATTTTTCAGGGGTCCGATATTGTTCTATGTACAATCCTTGTTTTATTGATTGCATGTAATATTCTAATTTTCTGAGATTGTGGATTTGGGGTTTTCATGAGCTGTAAGCCATAATCATCACAATTATGACAAATCACGGCTTGAACTATCTTGCTTTGCATGTAATAAGTCTACCTCATCTATTAGTTTCACCTTTTAAGTTGCATCACTGAAATAAATGAACTTTTGCGCGATATTCTAATTTTTCGAGTTTCACCTGTATAGGTAGCTGAAATATAGATAGTTAAGCAACAGCTAATAAAGAAAAATAATAGTTTTTGAGTAAACTTTATTTTAATTAAATTACCAATAAAAATACAGAACAGACAATATTATACCAGTTGAACCATGAATAACTAAGCAGAAAGTGCTAAATGTTGCCATGGCTTGCCTGCATTGTGGTAGCTGCATCTGTCTCTCACAACACAGATAAGTCATGGTCCTAAACATGACAAATGTTGGTTTGAAAGGAGTAAGCGAGTATATATTGAGTTTCCCTCAACATTCTGATATTATAATTTTATTATAATCATACAGGATTTGTGTAGTGCCAACAGTTTGTGTAAGGTTTTACAACACGAGGGCAGACAGTACAGATACAATATATTCAAATCAAGAGGAATCAGAGGTATCAATTTCTGTCCACTTAGCCTTCACTTTTTAAAACACTTGCTCTCCGGAAGGGTTACTTCCTTAACCCCTTGGCGTCACCCTTTAAGGGTTTCAGAAGCCAGGAGGTGGGTTTTAGGTTCATGTGACCGCCGTGATTCGCCGTCACAGCGGTCACATGATCAGGAAAGGTCCCGATCAAAAGAGGAGATCGGGACCTTTCCGTGAGTACCGACATCTGTGCTGCTCCGCGCAGGGCACACATTCTCAGCACATATGTTTTTTTTAATTGCACAAAAATGTGCGGCCGCTTGGTGTCTAGGCCCAGACGCCGGGAGGCCGCACATTTGTGTGCGGCCGGCGTGAAGAGAGTTAATGAACAGCCATTTTTTGTTATTTAGCACTGTGCTAGTTCAACTGGTAATTACGCGGTACCCAGACTAAATTTATGTCCCTTTTTTCACACAAATGGAGCTTTCTTTTGATGGTATTTGATCACCACTGGGTTTTTTAGTTTTTGTGATATAAATGAAAAAGACCGAAAATTTTGAAAAAAAACAATATTTTCTACTTTTGGCTATAAAAAAAATCCAGGAAACTAAAAGTTAGTAATAAAGTTAGTGCGAAAGTTATAGCGTCTACAACCATATGATATATATTGGAATTATTGCAGCTTTTAATTTCTGACTGCCTATCACATTTCTTGAGGTGTTAAAATACCAGGGCAGCAAAAACCCCCCAAATTACCCCTTTTTGGAAAGTAGACACCCCAAGGAATTTGCTGAGAGGCATGTTGAGTCCATTGAAGATTTTATTTTTTGCAACAAATTTTTGGAAAATTAATTATTTTTTCTTTACACAAAGTTGTCATTTAAATGATATATTGCTCACACATGCCATGGGTATATGTGGAATAGCACCCCGAAACACATTCTGCTACTTCTCCCAAGTATGGGGATACCACATGTGAGAGACTTTTTGGCAGCCTAGCCGCATACACACCCCCAAAATCCAATGACCACCTCCAAACTTTCCAAGGGCATATTTCCCCATGTCGCTTCCTCCCTACCTATCACAGTTTCAGAGGCCCTAAAATGCCAGGATAGTTCAAACACTCTCCAAATGACCCTTTTTTTGGAAAGTAGACAATCCAAAGAATTTGATAAGAGGTAAAGCAAATACCTTGGCGTGTCTACTGTCCAAAAAGGGGTCATTTGGGGGTGGTGCTTCTACACTGCTCAAAAAAATTAAAGGGACACTTTTTAATCAGAGTATAGCATCAAGTCAATTAAACTCCTGGGATATTGATCTGGTCAGTTAATTAGCAGAGGGGGTTGTTAATCAGTTTCAGCTGCTTTGGTGTTAATGAAAATTAACAACAGGTGCACTAGATGGGCAACAATGAGATGGCCCCCAAAACAGGAATGGTTTTACAGGTGGAGGCCACTGCCATTTTTTCCCTATTTATCTTTCCTGACTGTTTTTCACTAGTTTTGCATTTGGCTAAGTCAATGTCACTACTGGTAACATGGTGCGATACCTGGACCCTACAGAAGTTGCACAGGCAGTCCAACTCCTCCAGAATGGCTAGAAGGTTTGCTGTGTCTCAAGAGCATGGAGGAGATTGCAGGAGACAGGCAGTTACTCTAGGAGAGCTGGACAGGGCCATAGAAGGTCCTTCACCCATCAGCAGGACTGGTATCTGCTCCTTTGTGAAAGGAGGAACAGGATGAGTACTGCCAGAGCCCTACAAAATGACCTACAGCAGGGCACAGGTGTGAATGTCTCTGACTAAACAATCAGAAACTGATTTTATGAGGGTGGCCTGAGGGCCCAACGTCCTCTAGTGGGCCCTGTGCTCATTGCCCGGCAACATAGAGCTCAATTGATGTTTGCCATTGAACACCAGAATTGGCAGGTCTGCCACTGGTGCCCTGTGCTTTTATCACGTACCTGGTGATGGAGGCCAATGGAGAGGGGGCTTCCCTTGCGGCTAAGTTCTGGACTCCCCTGAGATTGGGACAGTGGGAGTCTGGCCCAAAGTTTCACAGGTCGCCTGTAAGAGTGCTGGTTGGTGGTCCACTAAGAAGCACAGCTGGTACACGGAGATAGGTCTGCAGACAGGAGGCACCTGTGCATGGTATGTAAGCCCTTCCGGGATTTAGATATTTACTGGGTAGTCGGTTCAAGCCAGACATAGTCAGATGGGATAGCCGAGGTCATACACAGAGAAGCGAGAGAGAGAGTATCCGTAAGCCAAGCCGAGGTCAGATCAGTGGTAAAGCAGAGTAGACAGGTCCAGGAGCAAGCCGAGTTGGTAACAGGAAATCACAGGTCAGAATCACAGGAAACAGGAAGAGGGCACGGGGAGCTAGAGGTCATCCAGCAACTTGAGGAAGTGATGAGCCTCCTTATAAAGGCCGTCTGGCACCAAACTGAGGCTGATGTGTACTTCTGCGGCCATGCAGAATACTAGCAGAAATGCCAGATCTTCTAGAACCTCTGCCGTGGACAGGACCCTGACACACTTTTTGTTTACATGAAAAAACAGTTTTATTTTGCTAGAAAATTACTTTGAATCCCCAAACATTATATATTTTTTTTTAAAGCAGAGGCCTTAGAGAATAAAACGGTGGGTGTTACATTTATTTATGCCTCACATTATCTGCGCAGCGATTATTTCAAAGGCAATTTTTTGGGAAAAAATAAACTTTTTAGAATTTTAATGCACAAAAACACAATATATTGCCTAAATGTTTGATACAATATAAAAGGTGATGTTACACTGAGTAAATGGATACCAAACATGACATGCATTAAAATTGGGCACGTCCGTGCAACAGCGACAAACTACGTAAATTTCTAAAATCCATAGGCGAGATTTTAAAATCCTTTGCAGGTCATGGGTATATGTGGTATAACACCCCAAAACACAGTTTGCTAATTCTCCCCAGTATGGGGATATAAAATGTGAGAAACTCTTTGGCAGCCTAGCCACATACATGCCCTGAAAATCCAATGACTACCTCCAGGCTTTTAAAGGGCATATTTTCTCATGTCACTTCCACATTACCTATCACAGTTTCAGAGGCCCTAAAATGCCAGGATAGTACAAACACCCTCCAAATTGCCCCTTTTTGTAAAGTAGAGAACCCAAGGAATTTGATAGGAGGCATGGTGAGTAGTTTGCAGATATCTTTTTTGTCACAGGGTTTTGAAGAAGAAAAAAAGAAAAGAAAAAATACATTTTTCGTATAGCGCTCATATGACCACTGGGTCTCCTTCACCGGATCTTCATTCCTCTGTGTCCGGTGGGGGTGAGTGAGTTGCACGCCCAGTCGGGCGTTGGGTACATTGCTGGTTTTGTAGCTTCTGCCCGTTCGTAGATGGAGAGTCGTTAATTTCGATTCTTCTGGAACTTTTGTAAAATATTATTTATACAGTGTTTTCACTTTAGTTAGAGGCATTTTTGTATTTAGGATAGTTTATTTTATTGCTTAATTCATATAGAAAACAGCAAACTTATCTTAAAGTAGAATTAAACTCTAAATGTATACAGTATATGCAATGTAGCCTTCCTATACTAAAACGTATATGGTACTTCCTGCCTGTAGAACCATTGGATAGGGACTTCTTTTAATATGGTGACTATGTTCAAGTGCTAATGTTAGCTCTTTTGATAGACCTGTCAGTAAATACCCATGCTCAGCTCTACCCACAGCCCTTTAGATTTACAACACATTCTTTATCTACTAATGTTAAAGGAGGTGATTAAGAGCCATGGCTGGTCCTTTCCACACTCCAAACATTGACTAGTAGGCTACCAAAATATCCTGGTTCCTAGCTGCATTTACCAGAAAAAAAATCACATTTCTTTTTATTCATTTAGTATGCCAATTTACATTGAACATGTCTGTTTATCTTTATGAATAGAAAAAAAATAGAAGCTGTAGATTTCCTGATTTTCACTGAAATTTAGGGGGAATGAAACTCTCCATTTGACTCGTCCCTATTTAGTACACATTAAAAATTTAATGATCCCATATAGCTCAGGTACCAGGAGCAAGTAAAAAAGTGGTAAAGTATACTAATAATAGCCACTAGTCCCAGCTGGTTGGAAGATGGTCTATGAACATGGATTTTACTTTTAGGGTGTTCCTGGAGCCACTTGTGGGGAGGTACTGTGTGGTGTGGAGGCAGTGAGTCCGGTTGTATTAAAACCTGAAACTTGTTTTGAGTAGAATGCCAAGATTACAAACACGGGAGAGGACCGTTTAGGGAAATAACTCACATTTCCATACAGTCAATGATATGGCTGAGGAGAGATGCCGACTGCATCTGTTTCAGTGAAGTGCAGCCTGGCCAGTCCATTCCCAAGTGGGGGAGGCTTCTTTCCAGGATATAGTCCCTAGCCTGTCCCTACCACCTGTAACCTTTCCCTACTGCTAGTTACTTTCCCTAACAAGTGGGGTCTCTCTCCCTACACTAGCCACTTGCAAAATGTGCACCAAATCCAGGGGACAGGGATTTATATAGACCCTAGTGACAAAAGATGACCACCAAGGATCACATAGCTGCAATGTAGCCAATCGGAACGCTGCTCAATTGACTCAGGAAACCATAGAGAAACTTTGTTTGTGTTAATATAGGAGAAGGTGTAATTTTTATGTAGTGTTCCTTTGTACTAAAATGTCATAAGTATTATAATATTTGAATCTTTTTCCAGGTATCGTGTGGTTAACAGCAGCAATTGTTGGTGTACCTATGTGGCACGTACAGCGTTTAGAGGTAACAACTGTCAGACCTTTCTTAACAAGCTAGAATGTTTGAATCATTCCCAGATTATAATTGACATAATGGGCAGAGCTTTGGTAGAATGCGTGGGATTTACATGGAATAATGTGAGGCTGGACAGAGCAGATAAGATCAGAATAGAGAAAGTCAAAATTGTGTTTATTTTGTTCTCCTTAAATTTAATTATGTTGTTAATTTTATGTTGTTGATGGATGTAAAATTTAATGGATTAAAAGCAGATGACCTATGACATTTGTTTTAGAGGGTCATTGGGCTTTTGCCAAATCATTGCACCTGCATATGAATTAGGAATGCTTTCAGAAATGTCTCAAACTTATAGTAAACTGATGACATCAACCAAAGCACACATTACGTCAACACGCCCTAAAGCTCTTCTATACAGAATCCTTGTAAAATGTTTTTTATATGTTTTCAGGCAACAATGCTCAATGTAAATATCTTTAGGATGTAACATATCTGAAAAGGTCCAAACCAAGCAGCACCACTCCAGACACTGAGTCTCTTGTCCACTGTGGATAGGTTGGGTATTAGCAGACGCCCATCCCCGATTCTAGTTCCGAGACTGGGACAAATTGAAGACTGCACACTGATGATGTAATTTCTTTTAAAAAAAAAAACTGCATACCACTTGTCCCTGCCTGAGAACCACCCTGCCATTTGTGTTTCACTCCTAAAGCTTAATAGTAGACACATCTCTATAATTAAGCCCATGGGGATGAAACACATTATAGAGGCAGTTCTCCAGTGGGGCATGCTTTATTCTGCATGCAGCTGAATACATTTTTGACTAGGAAATTACATCTTTTGTGTTCTGCTTTCAGTTTGTCGCAATAACTGAGAAGAAATTATGTGGGGTCATAATATGCTACACATACACTGGTTGCTTTACTGGTGGCATTACAAGTGGCATCTTTGAGATATAAGTTAGCTTACATGAAAATAAAATGTTTTTTGGAGACTGATACTTTCTTTATATGTTTAACAAGCTTCCATGTGAGTAAAGTGACACCTACACAGCAGTAGAGATGAGAAGTTATGGATGGAGAGAGCAAGTTCTTCCATAGGAAATAAGAGCTTATTAGGCACGTGCCCATTGTGCATGATACAATTAATTTTGTAGGTTGAAATAGTGAGCTCTGGATGCCTTCACCCCCTTCCACCACTAAAATGGTGCCTCGTAATGCATGCAACTCAACACACAGTCCAGCTATATTTAGTAACAACAGGAAATACTAAGACATTTTTTAAAATTTTTGAAAGACCATCAATGCGGTTATGCTTATGCATGTTTTTCAAGCATCAAAAAAAACCCCATAAGAGCAAAGTTTAATTTTGTGCACAGAGTGATTATGAAAATTGTGAATTATTATTCTGAACAAAAGTGCCTAGTATCATGGGAAATTACTATTCAGCCAAAGTTAATTAGTTATTCATTAAACTAATGGTTGCATTGCCCACGGATGTATTATCTATATTTTTATATGTAATTAACACTATATATAATAAATAATACAAAACAAACCGTTGCTTTTATTTAATTTAGTTTGGTTCGGTCAGGGGATCTCAGCTGTAATTCTCTTATATGGAGTATGGAAAGCCAGTTAATAGGATTAGAGATGAGCGAATTATTCAAAAATTCGATTCGGCTGATTCGCCGAATTTGCGGGAGAAATTTGATTCGATGCGAATTTATTCGCTGCGAATTTAACTTATTAAAAGGGTTTCTAGGCTTCAGAGAGCCTTTATATTAGTGCAGAACACTGTACCTTTAATTTAAATGCCCTTGGAGTCTGCTGGGGAAGAGAAATAATACTGTCAGTCAGTATGACATGCAGATGAGTGCCGTCGATCTTAGAATCACCGCATTACTTCACTCATTTGGGCAGTCACGGGGCACGACGAAGAAGAAGAAGAAGAAGAAGAAGAAGAATGAAAAGAAGAATGAAAAGAAGAAGAAGAAGAATGAAAAGAAGAATGAAAAGAAGAAGAAGAAGAATGAAAAGAAGAAGAAGAATGAAAAGAAGAATGAGAAGAAGAATGAAAAGAAGAATGAAAAGAAGAATGAGAGAATGAAAAGAAGAATGAAAAGAAGAAGAAGAATGAAAAGAAGAAGAAGAATAAGAATGAAAAGAAGAATGAAAAGAAGAAGAAGAATGAAAAGAAGAATGAAAAGAAGAAGAAGAAGAATGAAAAGAAGAAGAAGAAGAATGAAAAGAAGAATTGAAAAGAAGAAGAAGAATGAAAAGAAGAAGAAGAAGAATGAAAAGAAGAAGAAGAAGAATGAAAAGAAGAATGAAAAGAAGAAGAAGAAGAAGAATGAAAAGAAGAAGAAGAAGAATGAAAAGAAGAAGAAGAAGAATGAAAATAAGAAGAAGAAGAATGAAAAGAAGAATGAAAAGAAGAATGAGAAGAATGAAAAGAAGGATGAAAAGAAGAAGAAGAAGAAGAATGAAAAGAAGAATGAAAAGAAGAAGAATGAAAAGAAGAAGAAGAAGAATGAAAAGAAGAATGAAAAGAAGAAGAAGAAGAATGAAAAGAAGAAGAAGAAGAATGAAAAGAAGAATGAAAAGAAGAAGAAGAAGAATGAAAAGAAGAAGAAGAAGAATGAAAAGAAGAATGAAAAGAAGAAGAAGAATGAAAAGAAGAAGAAGAAGAATGAAAAGAAGAAGAAGAAGAAGAATGAAAAGAAGAAGAAGAATGAAAAGAAGAAGAATTCCAGTACAGCAAAAAGTGTATCTGCAGAGAGCTCCGCTATTTCTGACAGTTCTCTGACAGTTCCTTCACATTTACAGCGGTTGTATTGTATCTATTTATTTCCGAATAAAAACATCTGTATCCTAAATGGAAACAAATAGATACAATGTTTCAACCGCTGTAAATGTGAAGGAACTGTCAGAGAACTGTCAGAAATAGCAGAGCTCTCTGCAGTGACACTTTTTGCCGGCTGATCGGGAAAAATTTGATTCGTGCATCCGAAGTTTGCTAAAATATTCGGTGCGAATCGAATTTTTCCTAATATTCGAAACAAATTCCACTTCGCCAAGTTCGATTCGCTCATCTCTAAATAGGATAGATCCATCAACTAAATAAGTGAGGCAATCAGGCAGAAGAAGATTGGGACACTTGCAAGGATAAATTCTATATCTTGCAGCAGTCAGGGTTTAACAATCACAGTGTGGGTCTGTGGGGTGTCTGTTGCTAAGTAGAATGACTTGGAAATCATAGGTGTGTAGTGTGATTGTAAATATTATAGTTATCTGACAAATTAATTAGGTTTAAATTTTGAGGAGGGATGAATGATGCAAAAGAAACTGAATGGTGTAAAACTAAAAAACAAAGGAGAAAACTAAAAAACAAAGTAGAGTGAACCAAGGACAAAGAGAAAAAAGGGCATGAAATTTGTACGCAATGTGTTTTCAAGGTTATCCAAGATGGAAGTTCGTTCCATAATATTCCTTCTAAACAAGAGAAAACAACAAACATATCTTGATAAAGTTGGATATAATAAGAAAAGGTTTAAATCTTTATCAATTATTTTTTCTTGCTGCCTATGTTCCATTTGGGAGATTTGCCTTCACATCCTGTCCCAACATGCAACAGACAACAGAAAGTAAGGAATCTGTACAAAGGGAGGAACCTTCTCCTCTTAGACAGTTGTCACTAGAACACGTGTCTCCATTATAACATTTTCCCTCTAACTCTGTGTGGGACAACTGTAAAATTTTGGATTTACCAGCACTTTCTGATAGTGGTAACCAGGACATACAGTATATAGATAGTTAATCTACACAATAGGGATACAGGTGCAATAGAAAATTGACTGGCACTCTAATTCTTTCCTACTCCATGAAAAGCAAAAATAAAATATGTAGTTAAAGTTTTGTTTCTAGCTTGTATAAAGTAGGATTGTATTGTGTAACACCCTGCTAGGTACAGTAGCTAGGGGGAGCTATATAGGTTTTTTAAGCTAGGAAGGCTTAATAGCAGCTTGGGCTAAGACAGAGGGTTATTCCAGGTCAGGGCTGGTAGGTTCTGCAGGTCAGTTCCTTGACATCTACCCCTGTCTAGAGATCTTGGTGAGCAGGGGTGAGGAGGGGCTGGCCGGCACACTTAGGGGACCTTGACCAATCTCCAAGCAGGAGGCTTAGCAAGAGGCCAGGACAGTCCTTAAATGTGGAAGAGCCGGAACAGCAGTAGGATAGTTTGGGTGGAAGATTAAATGAGAGGCTGGAAAACAAGATCCTGGGAGGGGGCCCAGATGGGAAGGGGCTCACCTACAGTTAGAGAAGCATGAAAGGAGGAAAGCTCAGGACCCCATCAGCCCACAGAGAGAGAGGACCATCTGTGCAGCAGGGAAGGAATGGCCCAGCGGGAGGGCTGATAGCAGCCACTGGCCCATCATCTCACAGACAGAGGACTGAGTGAGTAGATCTACACCCCTTGGGCCAGACAAGGGAAGGAGTACTCTAGTGGGAACCTGGATTAGCTGCTTCCCGGGACTGTCTTATATTTAAAGTGACAGGCCCTGGATACCCTGCCCAGGGATTTCAAGATTGTCCTTAGCTGTAATTTCCTTTGGGCATCCCATACACTCCTTACCCCGTTCAAGTTCAATTCCCCTAATGAAAATCCAAAAAAACAAGCTCAGAGACTGGTTACTGTCTCCTGGATGCAAGTCTGTATGGAAGATACATATTGCCTGACTGTGCAGGACTATAGGGGGACCAAAACTCAGCAACTCCTATGGGGGTAGTGCTACTATTGTTTGCTGTATCCCCACTGAAGAAATTATGAGGAGATGGTATTGTCACTAGGAATCAATGTGAGGGACAATCCAAATATTTAAGTTGACCCTTCAACAGGAATTAAGAAGAAATCTTTAAATTGGGGCAATTGTTTCGGTGAGGACTGTTTGTAGATCTCTTTTTTAGATAGCTTTCCTTTTACTTTCTGTAGTGTATATGCAGCAGAAA